TAGTTCGTTTTGGGCTTACTTTCTTTTGCTAACGTTTTATTGGTTGGTATTGTGCAGATACCAAGACGATCTCTGGTCTTTCTGTGGTTCTCGGTAAGCTAGTCAGCAAAGGCAAGCTCGAGCTTGTTGGTGGCCAGTATCAACTAGCCAAATAGCTTGCTGCGTCTTCCCTACTGTGTTTTGTCCCGTATTTTCAGAAGCCATCAGGGCAGGTCTTGTGGGTGTGGCCAACGGAGGCACAGGTCAAGCAGATTGGTTTCGGCGCAGCTCCATTCTTCTTCCCATGCTTGAGTGAAAGCTGATCCATCGAATACGCTCTTGCCAACCGCTTCTCGTACGTGAGCCCGCTGTGGCAGCCAAACTGGAAGCAAAAACGCATGAATATGATAGTAACATAAAATCATAGCATTTCCCTCAGCGAATTCTCTCACTCACCTTTACATTGGTCTCCAAGTCCTTCGGCACGTCGTAGTACTTCTACAATACAATATTAATCAGTAAGAAATACAGCAGGTGTCATTTTTTTTACATTTTTCGTGCCTTGATGTACTCGACGATCGTCTTCATCTCCTTGGACACCTCGTGCTTCTTGTGCTTGTGCTTGTACTTGACCGTCTAATGGAGAGCAGCATAATAAACTTTAAGTAGTTTTCTTATGCTAAAAAAAATCTAGTTCTAGGTTCCAACCTTGTAGATAAATGTTGGAATGTGCGCACTCGACTCTTCGTCGCTAGCGTTAAGTGGACTAACCTCCTCCTTCTTCGTCACGTGCTGCTTTTTAGCAACCGGTGATGAGTCCACCTTCTTCCCGTGCGCCTTGGGCTGCTTGGTCACGCGCATAAAGCTTGTGATCTTCGCCATAATTACTTGCTTCGACGTGAACTCCTCCGGTCTTCTTTCGATTTAAATTTTAAACATGTTGAAGTGCACCGTGCAACATAGCACAAACCGGATTCTTAATGCAACGTTTCAGCAACTCAAGAACTTCAACTTGGATATTTCGATACAAAAATGGCACTACCTCAACAAAACTTTATTTTTGCTTGAGCTATGAAGCGAATCCAACGTCGGTGTGTGAACAGCGCTGAAGATTACCATCCGCGCGCAACTATGCTGCGTATCACTGGCGTACGCGGTCCTGCTGCAGGACCTGCACCCTTTATTGCCGTTACGACGGTCGTGCCTTCATTTCTGCTTCTCTCGTGAATATGGTGAACCTCTTGCCTGCAGAACGAGAATATTGCCGGGACGTAACCCTCCAGGTGCTTGACCGAACACTGCACGACTACGCAGACACCGCATCGTGGGCCTCCGGTGGAAATTTAAGCACCTCCGACGTCGAGCACGAGGGATGGAAAAAGCTCCGCTCACAAGGAAATGTGTCATTGTATGCGGAGAAGACAACAGATTTGGGGTGGGTGACGTCAATGCGTGAAGGTGGCTGGCAACACCCTGTTGCAGTGGTGGCTGTGGGCCGCATGTGCTG